CCAGTCAATAAATCCTTTTATATTTGTCGGTGGGTTAAATACTCCTGACCACAAACGTTGCTTAAGTTTCTCTACCAGTATATAGTACAATCAGTAGTATCTGAATGACAGCACGAAATTTCCGTATAAGTACACGGCCAGTTTCGCTATAATTGCTGCTCGTCAGGTATGCGTTAATTTGAATGACCAGAGCAAAAATGAGTGGCGGTCATTGAGGGGTGGACAATTTAATACCTTATCATGAATTTTATTCACCGCATGCGAGCGAGGTACTCGTGCGTGCGTTTCACTATTTTCTTTTGTTCTTTCTTGTACAGCCTTTATTCTTCTTCCTGATAACTTTCATTTCATTCATTCTTAATTTGAAATCGGTTTTCGGCTTTCTATACTAATGTTCTTCAATAGCGAAAGGAACGAGAACCATCACCGTAGTGTTGCTTGGTTATTTTTGATTTGAGCAGAGCCGATGTGCATCCTGGGCCATTCTTCATACAAAGAGAAGAAATTATCTTTGTTATGACGTCTCATTCTCCTGTACTGCTAATAATGGCGGAAATTATCTAGAGATCATGGTGATTGGGTAGTAACCTCCACTTAACTGCAATCTAGTTGATAAGCCAAAAAATCATACGATTTACCGTACACAGAGTGCTATTCAAAGCAGATGTTGGGCAATCAGTCATGGGAATAAAATCCATTGATACACCCAGTTTATTCTTATTTCTCATGGTGAAAATAAAAATGATGTTAAAGCTTCTCGTAAGATCAGAATTAAAGAACAATATCTTAGACGTTCTGTGTGAGTTAGCTTCAGTAATGGAGTTTGTTTTTTTACCAAATGAACGCTTAATACACTCGATTAACGATTGCCACCAAATTTTTCATTGTTACCCTGTCACGTTTTTGATCTATCACAGCGATGGTCAGTCTTCACCTCTGTCCTCCACATTACCGAAAACTCGGCGCGCACCAAAGGCCCGACAAAAACGATCTGAGTTGGCGAAACGGATGCGAACGGAAAGTACACCTAAAATGTCAGTGATATTGCAATCTGACACACCGTCCGGTGCATCGATTCCCAGTTCTCCCTTGGTAGGTGTTCACATCCGAGTGTATCAGTTCGTACGCCTTTTACACCGGTTCGTATATATATTTCATAATAAGTATTACGCGAATGACTGGATAAAACTTCCCTAGAAGCACACGACC